TTATTATGGCTGAAATACTTACAAATTGTTAGAAGATTATAAGTGATCTCAAAAAAGGAAGAACTTTGATAATGACAGAGTTTGAAAGACTTACACAAAATCAAGATTACCTATAAGACACTCATATAAATTGTTATTGAAATATGACATGAAGATACAACAAATAAAACGTTTACGATAAAGTTAATGCACAACAGCAAAGAAATAATCACAGTACAACAATTAGAAGAGTCATGGGATGAGGATTAATACAATTTACTCCAAGTTATAATTTAAGGAAAGATCAGTATAAAATATTTTACGGATGGTACATAACCCTGTCAATACCAAGATAGGCAAATCATATAACAATAAATGTTGGAAATGCCATAACAAAGAAGGATCACATGTGATGGCTATCTACGAAATAATCCCACAAAACTATTAAGAGTGAAATACACCAACATATTCAGAAAATCCTAAAACAAAATTTGCGCTGAAGCCACATTTATTCTTATTAAGCATAATTCCTGAAAACATAAATGAAAAATATCACAATTTACTAAGATACCTGCTGACAGCTAGGAGAACGAATCTGGCACAACATCAGAAAAGGTGAACTTTGCTGATGATATCAGACTGAGAAACCAAGATTGGAAAAAATGAAGGCATCGCAAAACTGATAATACACCGTATATCTATAAAGCAGGGCAAATTTGGGCATTTAGAATATGTATTTTAGGAAAAAAGATGAGACCAATCAAAACTAATAGACGAAAGGATTTCAACGGATACCAGCAGCGATCTTTAATATTTAATGTACAGTTTAAATATCTAGATGGTGGTCAGCAGTTGAGGAAATAAGTGGCTGAAAAGGAAAGAACATGTAACTAGAAAGTTTTCTCATAATATTTTGTTTGTGTTTTATTTATGCTTAGAAGTTGCTGCTTTTTAATGTTATTCAACTTTTAGTATTCAATATAGATCCCTTTTCCCTTTGTATTTCATTAAATAATATAGTAAAAGTACTTTACCTTTAAAAAAAAAGATGTTTTTTACCCAATCCCTGTTACCATCCCGGGTCTGGGCCCTTTCCTTGTTATGGGATGGGCTGTTTAGGAGATATCACAGAAACCCTTCACCAATTTTGTTTTGACCTCTCCCATTGATCCTCTATGGGTGCATCTGCCTTTATAGGTTGTATATGCCTCCCTAGAAGCAAAGAATGGTCTATTTGGGGTTAAACACCTGTTTTTTTAATCCATCTACTTGTTGAATGGCTGTTCCTTGAATCCCAGAATTTGGTGTCCTACAGAGAAACACTGCTGAAATCAGAAAGGGGCTGTAAAACCATTGGGAGCAAGTAAATCTTAAAGAAAAGGGAAGATTTTGGGCACACTCTGGCCCAAGAATCCATAAAAATGAACTTTCAATATTCATTCCCATGGCTTCTTGAGCTAGAGTGTGCCCAAAATCTTCCTTTTTTTAATTTAAGATTTACTTGCCCCCAGTGGCTGTACTAAGAGCCAGTTAAGGGACACAGGCTAGAAAATGGGAGAATGTGAGGTCTAGTCCCACCTTAGATACAAATCCAACTGAATGACTTTGAGCCAGTCACTCTTGCTCAGACCTACCCTGTTTCCCTGAAAATAAGACCTCCCCAGATAATAAGCCCAATTGGGCTTTTGAGCACATGTGCTAAATGATCCGTCCCCAAAAAAATAAGTCCTCCCCAAAAATATTGCAACACAGCAGCAGCCGTGAGGTGACCATGTTCGCTGCCTCCTGCACCTTAAAAATAATAAGACCTCCCCGAAAATAAAGCCAAGCGCTTATTTCGAGTGTCAAAAGAAAATAAGACCCTGTCTTGTTTTCAGGAAAACATGGTAGGGTTGGTCCGGTAATTAAGTCATCAGGCTAGAAACCAGGAGGCTGTGAGTTCTAGTTCCACCTAAGTATGAAAGCCAGCTGGATGACTTTGTGCCAGTCACTCTCTCAGACAATGATGTCAGGCTTGGGTGACAAGCCAGTTGGTCAATTCCTGTACCAATCATGGACTGACACTTGGTTGGTTTCCCACCTCCCCCCAAAAGTGGACCCTTCATCTGAAGGGGAAGGAAACCCATTTGCTCAGTCCTAGGAAGACGTAAGAGCAAACACTTCCAAAAATCTTGCCAAGAAAGTTGCACAGGTTAGTCCAGACTTGAAGGTTAAATAAAGAAATGCTTCCTGAAGATCACAGGATGTGAACACCAAACAATCTGGTGAGGGCTTCATTCATTTGGCTGGAACACACAATTCCATATAAGTTGTTCCTGTCGGGATGCAATATACTGTGCCATTATTCTCATATATTGCTATTATTCTTATATAATATATACAATCATAGTATACAATTTGTTATAATATGCTGTTATTCATATATATTCTTCAATATAGCAGCCTTCCAGGAACTGACCATAACCCAATGTCTCTCTAGTAATAGCTCTGCAAGGCTGAAGGTGAGATTCTTTCCTCCAAACTTTTAAAGGTAATGCTTGAATTAAGCGTGAACTAGACCCATTCTGGAATTGGGGCATCTCTCTTCTAAACCAAATTGTTAGGGTTCAGAATAAGGAATCTCTGCCCTCCCCCACCTCCAGTTAAATTCTCAGGGAAGGGCAGACTTCTGGAATTGACTCTGTTTTGATGGATTATTTAGGTGCACCAATTACAACTCAAAATTACAACTGGACGAGAAATAAAGGATTTAGTTTCTTGAGATCAGGATTAGAATTAGAGCCAAATTCTCTGTTCCTAGGAACAGGAGCTCCATTCCTAGATTCTGCTCCAGGGTTCTTTCTAGCAGTCTAATTTAAGAAGAGGAAGACAAAGATTTCTAAATAGTTTCTATTAAGACAATTGGAAATCACTCCTACTTGCCCACCTATGAGATCACATAAGGTTCTCTCAGGGGATCCTAAACTGCTGTGGTGGGCTTCGTACTTCAGATCCCCCTGTTTGATTTTTATTTTCTCTTAAGCAGAAATGAGGAGCAGCTGGAAACTTCCTCCTCCCACCCCCACTTATGAAATGAAGCAGACTGACACTGATTAATTCCTTAATTTCTTTAATCAACCAGAAATTAATGACTCTTGCTCTTCCTTCATTCCCTACAGATGAGAAAATTGCATGATGCTAAAGCAGATGAGATTAACCAGACAGCTACAAATGGGTTTGGGGAGGGGAGGGATATGGGGGGGGGAGGGAGGGAGGCCAGGCGAAAGGAGCAGAAGCAATGCTGCATGACAAAACAATAGGAAGGGAGGGTGAAATTGCAGGGCAGAATTTCTGATCCAAATGGCTAAGTCATTACTTGGAATAGCTGGGGGAAGCTATACCTACTCTATTACTCAAACAACCATAGTATGCACACACCATGTCACAAAAAATACTTGAGCATCTTTCGATAGCAGAGATTCACGTCCCACGGGAGTAATTCTACAACAGTGAAAGCTGAATTTTGGCACACACGTTCTCCAAAGTGCTCTTACCAAACACTCCACAAACCAGTTGGGGTGGATGACAGAGCAAGATATGGGAGTCCCTCCCATCCCCCCTTTGTGCTACTGAGCCAACCTCCAAATAGGAGAAAGCAGAAGGCGGGGGCGGGGTGTGGTGTGGTGGTATAAATGAGCGTAAAAACTAACCAATGACTTTTCACACTCATCTGAACTACTCCTGCGTTATTGGAGAGGATCTGGAAAATATATACATATACTAGCCATCATACAGGCCAACTCATCCTGGATAGATGAGGGTTTGTTCCATAAGAAGTTGAAATAGACCAAATGGAAAGAGGTCGATTCAAGATCTACTTCCTCTAAGGTCTACTGTATCCATCAATGTAAGTGAATGCCCCAATATCTAAGTAAGATGAACAAAAGAAAGCCACTGGAATGACTTTCAGGGGACTTTGACCAAATTGGTCCTAGGAAGACACAAGAAAAATGAAGACTCTAAGAAGTCTACAGCAGCCCTGATCTTTGATGATCTAACAGAACACTGCATTGTACAGTTGGGGAGAGATAGCTCATGATCCATTTTTATTTGGTAGGATATTTTTTCAATGATCTCCCTACATCCGTAGAAAGATCTCCCCGGAAAAATATGTATGACTTGATGATGTTTCTAAGAGAACATTTAGAAATGAGAGTGGGGATGATAATAATATGGGCGTTTTGATTCCAATCAATGCTTGGATGATGTCTTAAACTTTCCTTTACAGGTAGTTGTTGGTGAGATTAATGACATAATTAATGGTTACAGTGTAATGAGCTGTTCCATTAGTAATTTTCCATCATTTCTTGATGACTTGAAAACCTTTTGGCCAACATGCAAAGAGGTAATATTATAGAGGATACGAACAGACCTTCTGATATCTGGAGCAGAAACGTTTAGTGGCACTTGTCCAAATGAGCCACCAGCTTTCAGGAATCAGGCAACAGTTCTGCCAAAACTTAACTGGTGGGTAAGACACGTCTCTTTTATTTTGGCAAAGCTTCCTGTAATTCAGTGCCCAAGATCAGTCACGAAGGTCGATCTTCAAAATCCATTTGTTAAGGGGTCTTTGCAGCTCAATTGCCTTGACCTGAGACATACAACAACACCCATCACATCCCAAATCAATAAAGCTTCCTATCTTGTCTGCTATTGTTCTGACAGGGAGATTAGAACCCTGGATCTGGTAATGTCTTTTTAAATCTTCAGAACTACCTCAAAAAAAATGGTGAGTTCTAGACCCATGAAAGTTAACCATGAAAACCAGCTGAGTGATTTTAGCCCAATTACCAGGAGATGGTGAATTCTAGTCCCACCTTAGGTATGAATGCCATCTGGGTGACTTTGGGTCAATCACCAGGCGATGGTGAGTTCTAGTCCCGCCTTAGGTATGAATGCCATCTGGGTGACCTTGGGTTAATCACTAGGTGACAGTGAGTTCTAGTCCTGCCTTAGGCATGAACACAGTGTGGATGATTTTGGGCCAATCACCAGATGAGTTCTAATCCCACCTTAAACATGTAAAACCAGCTGGGTGATTTTGGGCCAGTGTCTTTCTCGGCTAACTCACCCCACGTGGTTGTTCTTCTGGGGAAAATAGTAAAGAATATTGTTATGTTTGCCAGCTTGAGTTGCCCTATATATGAAAAAAACATAGGTAAAAACCTTCTTTAAAACAGGTCCTTGATGATCAGCTATGAAAGTTACTGAGAGGTTCAACAGGAGAGAGAGGAAAACATCATTAAAACTAGATGTGCGAGGGAGTGAATGCGAGATGGAGAAGAGAAATGACGGACAAGGCTCTCTTTTTCTACACAACCTCAGCAAGGTTCCCCATCATCCTCATCCTTGGTATCTCCACTGTGACTCCTTGGGAGGCCAGAATATCCTCCTGAACACTCCTTTCGGCCCCCACTGAGAGCCAAGCGGCTGGGTGGGCTTGCAGAGAAGTCTAGGGATTCACTGACACTGAAGATGTACTTCTCCCATAGGAAACGCTCCAGGTCGGGGTCCAGCGCCGGCGAGTTGGAACCCCGGATGCTCCCCGTTGCCGCCGTGTATTTCTCAAAAATCTGCCGACGGTACTTGAACTCCAGAATAGTCTTGGTGTAAGTGTTGAGGGTCAGCACCGAGGCTGACATGCAGAGAGTGAAAGAGAGCCAGGCCAAGCTGTGGGGAGAACATCAGAAGAGGGTAAGCAAAGGAGGAGAGGAAAAAGATTTGAATCCTTCGGCCATTGGTACCTTGAGGTCTTCCTCAATTGTCCATCAACATTCCCAAACATTTATCCATCCACTCAGACGCACCGCTTCATTCATCCACAAAGTTTCCTCATCTCCAGAATCTCAATATTAAGGCCAAGGTCAACGTCTCCTCTATTATAAATAAAAACAGGAGCTTCGATCCATGAATTTTAAACATGCACAGTTGCCGAGGTGTCTGAGACAGTCACGACAGCAGTTGTGATTGGGCAATTAAAGCCCCACCTCTTTCTTGGCCCACGTAAAAAGAACAAGGATTCAGTCATTCTACCATGGCTACCCTCTTGACTTTTTTCAACCCTTTGCCCGTGGACACTTATCTCCCAGTGTTTTAGAATCATTCTTCTTTTTCACGGTCGTCTTTTGCCAGTTTTACAAGTAAGAAAACCAGGCTCCTTGAGTTATTAGACAGCTTCCTCTAAAATATCTCTGGAGATTCGGGATTGTTATATTTTGTTGTTCTTGCTCATTCAGATTTACGCTCTTTGTGTAAATCCACTGTGCTATTGTCATCAAAAATGAGCAGACTATACATTTTGGTAGATCTGGATCTTGTGCTATTTATCACAGGAATTTACAATCAGCTACCTCTTAGGTCATATAACTATTCTTGGACACTTCTGAATCTCTTCCTTCCCCCATTTCTAGTTCAATCAGATCCTTTCTTTTCTACCATCCTGACTTGGTCCAAAAAATTACAAGACAAAGTGGCAAACGCTAAAAGGGAAAAAATCCTCCTCAAAGCTGGCTACTTACCCAAAGGACCATCCATAATACCATGTCTGGGGCCTCCAATCTTTTGGCCCCAGGTTTACAGCTACCTGAAAGACAGTCATGTACATCATGTGGGCCACCATGCCCAGGAGACCTGTGGAGAAGAAGAGGCCCATAAGCCACAATTCAGCCACAAGAAGAGGTCCATAAGCCCATTCAGCCTCAATTCTTCTGCACCCTGGAAATGTTGCAGGTAGCAATCAACAGCCCAAGTGGGCAAGCAGACATGCACATATACATACACGTGCAAGTTGTGGGTTGATTCAACAAAATCTAAGAGTAAAGCTCTCCCCAATGCATTCTCTATAAAAAAATGGATGTGTAGAGTGGGGAAAGGAATGATGGGAATATACAGGTAGTCTTAAACTTACGGCCACAATTGGGACCAGAATTTCCATTGCTAAGTAAGGTAATAGCAATAGTAATAGCATTCAGACTTCACAGCAACTCTAAACGAGCATATTGCCCTCAACAATTTGGGTCCTTATTTTACCAACCTCGGAAAAATGGAATGCTGAGTCAACCTTGAATCGGCGAGAATCAAACTTCTGGCAGTCAGCAGAGTTAGCCTGCAATACAGCATTCTAACCACAACGCCACCATGGCTCATGTTACAACAAGCCAATTATTAAGTGAATTGCACCCAGTTTTATAATCCCTTAAGCACACGCGTGCGTGCGTGCGTGTGCGCGCGCACACACACACACGCAGGGCATTTAATTAGGATTCCCTAATCATTTTGGCCACTTTTCTAAGAATTCTGGGAGTTGAAATCTACCCCTCTGAAAGTGGCCAAATTGGGTAATCTACACCAGCACTACTTTCGAGACATGTCTGTCTACGCAGAATGAAGGGATGGACAGGAGGGCAAGTGGCAATACCTGACAAAACAGTGATTACAGCTGCGAAAGCGTTGATCTTGAGACCGTCAATGAAGTTGGCATAGTAGATAGCATCTAAACACATCAGCAAGAATCCAATACTCAACAGGATGATATAAAGAAATTCGGAAGCAACAGAGAGCCACAGCACTCCTGCAGAAAAAAGAAAGGGGTTACGGGGGGAAGAAAGAGGTTAAGCTGCTTTGCTACCACTACATTATTCTGTTACCCCAGAGACTGACTGGAGCTTTCTTACTGGCTCTGCTTACAAGAGCCCAGCTGGGATGGGCTGGGGAAAAAAAAAAACGACAACAAAAATGGCATTTGGAATGACTGAGTGCAGGGTGGGAGACGGCAAGGTTTTTCTTTTCTCTTTGGGAAGGCAACACTTGACTAGTTAAATCTTAAACTCAGGAAAAATAAGCTTTGCAGTACTTACAGAGTTGCTTCCCACTCATTTTGCACCTACGTGAGCTGGCCTATTTTGCCATCCAAATTCTCACCTTGTTCTGACTCTGGAGGCAGCTCGATGAAACTCCGACACTTCTCCTCTGGCGGGAGGGGAACAGTGAGAGAAGACAATGACAGGTTAGCCACAGCTGCTGCTGCTCTACGTGACAATGAATGCCGACATTTTGTGATGCCCTCTCCCCCCCCCTGCCCCCAGGAAAAGGGGATCGTTCGGTTTCTGCTGCTGACTAGGTAGATCTCAGCAAGAAAGGGGCACAAGTTTTAAAAGACAAAGAGATATAGCAAGGGACCAAAGAAAGAGTGCTGTAGTCTAAATACTATTTTTCCTCATCTACAGTAACTTTCCCTAATCAAAAACACTCTAAATCAGGGGTGTCCAAACTTGGGAACTTTTAAGACTTGTGAACTTTAACTCCCAGAATTCCCCAGCACGGCAAACAAAGGCCGTCTTTTCCAAAACGTACAGTTATTTTGTGTAAATTAAACAAAATTAGAGAGAGTCTGCAGTACTTTAGGGAAGTTGTTTCTGTACTGTCTGGGAGTTCCAAAAATTGTACTTCAGCAATAAATAAATGGGAGCACTATTTTCGCATTTCTACTTCAAAATGGATTTCGATCAAGGCAAGGATTGCCCTAGATTTGGAGGAAGTGAGAAAGAGGATGATTCTTTGGACAGAGCCTTTCATGTATGTCGTGCATCAAACTGCAAGCTACACAATCTCTTCTTTTGGTTGTGTCCTCATATGAGATTGGTGTAATGCAGCGGTCCCCAGCCTTTCTGGCTTGGCCGCCCAGGCCAACAGGGGAGGAGAAGATGGTTCTGTGTGAGTTGCAGTTGTGCACATGCAAGTGCACACAGCTCCATTTGCACACCTGCGCAAGGGCCAGCCATTCACAAGAGGGGAGTTTTTGTTGACAAGAGTAAGTGCCCATCGCTTGGTCGAAGGGAGCTTCATGCGCACACACATTCACCTGCTGCTTCTGCAGCCCGATTCCGAATGGGTCCCAGCCAGGTAGTGGGCTGTGGTCCAAGGATTGGTGTAATGGACTGTGAGAATAACCTTGAGGAACAGGAGGAAGAGCTGCAGCCAAAGCAACAGTCAAATAAAATAAATTTGAGTCCAAATCAAGAATGTAATTTAGGAAAGCATTTTAGACTTGATCCTCCCTAGAATAATGGCAGGGAGAGAAGAGGCTCATCCAGAGTTGCAATATTCTGTTATTGTACCTATAACAAAAGTAGCTTTTATATTCATGTCTTTAGTATTCAAGTCTGGTCCATCTCAAAGGCCTTGGACTCTTCCCTTAACACAGGGGTCGGCAACCCATGGCTGTGGAGCCACATGTGGCTCTTTCATACCTCTGCTGCGGCTCCCTGTCACTTCACAATAGATATGGCTTTCAGATAGGACAGGTAGAGGAAAAAGGACGCCATGCTAGGAGGAGACTCTGGTAGGTGAGCCAGACCTTCAGTCGGCTCCAGAATTGAATGGGGAGCTTCCAGTTTGGACCTTTGTGGCTCTTTGAGTGTTTAAAGTTGTTGACCCCTGCCTTAACACAACATAGGTTTTGCCGTGGATCCAACCTTATATATATATATCACTAACCATACTGTTCAAAGTACAGGTAGTCCTCAATAAATGACCAGTTGCTAAACAACTATTCAAAGTAATGACAGGCTTCCCCGGAGCTACTTATGACCCTTTTTCAAAGTTCTGATGCCTGCACCCATATACCTTGTATTCACACAACCACATTTTGATGCTTGGCAATGAGCTCACCTTTACAGTCTCCCATAGTAACATGACTGCGATTTTCAGCTGGTTTTAAGCAGTTTCTGGCATGTACTTTTAGTTTCTGGCCAAAGAAGCCCATTGGGGAAAACAAATCTACTTAACAACTGCCATACTCACTTAATGACTATGGTGTTCGTTTAACAACCACCGTAAATAAGATGGTAAAATTGGGCATGGTCACCTTAATGACCGACATGGCCGTAATTCCAAGCTTGATTCGTAAGTCAAGGACTGCTTGCACAAGCAGGTGATCGCTAAGGGTTGTAATCAGCTCAGCGCCTCAGTACAGAGAGGTCACCTTGTCTCCGGTGCATGGACACTGTGTTCCAAAATCTTTCTAATTTAGACAATAGCAGCATCTGGTTCTTTCCACTTGGAAAGTTGGACCAGCCCGAATCGCCACCATCCAGAATTGGCGGCCAGGGTGTATCCACTAATCACTGACTTTAACTCGCCCCACATTAAAACAATGAGGACAAGCCCCCCCCCCCCCCCCCGCTTTAAGGTCTCTTTAGTGAGTCAGAATAGGGGTTGGCAATGAAGAGAACCCTATTTACGCAGCATACATTTCTCTAGGGCTCACAGATCTGCAGAAAGCACTTTAACACAGCTGTCTGGCTAGATACGGGAGGGAGAGAGCAGGTGCCAAGATTTGCAAAAGTACAAAAAAATCTTGGATGGGGACGGAAAAAAAAATCTACCTCCAATTTTCACACAGAGGGCTGAGTATATACCAAGGGCTTTAGTGACATATTTCCCTGCTTTGTTCAAGAGAAGAAACCATAGTGCTAGTAGTACCCTCATCCTAACAATTCATTGGGGGAAAAAATCCTCTGTGTAACCAAATAGTTTTTTTCTAATTATCTGTTGTATTTATCTTGTCCTTTCTCCCAAAAGCTCAGGTGGGTTTTTACAAGCCTCTCCCTTCCCACTTCCTGTTTTATATTCCAACAATACTCCAAAGTTATCAGATTAAGAAAGAATAACTGTGTAAAATAAAGTCAGCCCCAGGGCATCGTCTGGGTTTCTAAGGATATGAATACTAAGATTTCACTTTCTACGGTGCCATTTGTTATTATAACTATTGTTAGTTATACTGCATCACACAGACTAGGACAAGTTTCTGTCACTAGTAATTTAGAAAGAGGATCACAGAACAAAAGTAAAGGAGAAAGAAGTAAGAAGATCTGGATGGGGTGGGGGGACTCTATGCTCTTACGTATAGGTTGGCCATATACATTGGGCCCTACTTGTTAAGGTCCTTTGGGGCTCCTTGAGGTTCTCCTACCTACAACATTATTTACATTGTTTATCTAGCAAATTCTCTTCCCCCCCCCCCCGGTTTCCTTCTTAGAAGCTCACCCCATGAAAACATGAATGTTTAACTACAAATAGTGTCATGGAATCAATTGCCCAGGGATGTGACCGTTTTTAATACCTCCATGATGTTCTTCACACGACAGCCAGAAACCGGTGTGGAAATACTGAAAAGCATACTTGTCTTCACCCGTCTCCCAGATGTACTGGACTTTGTGAGGATCCACCGTCTCATTCGTATCCAGAGTCTCGTTGCTGTTGCTTGGTACGCAGTTACCTTTCTTGACCACTGAAAGGCAGGGTGATTTCACCACTTTGTGGGTCCCTTCACACCAATAGCTGGTGCTGAAAGCAGACACAGAAAAGCAGAGGGCAAGACAGTTGAGGCCCAAAGAAAGCATTGAGCGAACTCTTCGGCTTAATCGAATCATCGTTACAATGTCCCCAGAGCTACAGGAAGAGACAAGGGCTGGTCCTTGAGATCAAACCCAATTGTTCAAAGTCCCTCTAAGTGGCGGATCGATCAGACGTCTTCTGGGTTTAGTGGATAATTCTGCACAAGAGTCCGGTGGCAAATTGCTTCTCCAATTTCCATCATTCCCTCATCTTTATAAGCAAAGAGTGGGCTGCATCCAGCAAAGCAATCACCCTAAAGAAAAAGAAGCATGTCAGAATTTGGAGTTAGATCTGGTTACTTGAGGATATAAGGATATAGGGTAGGAACCAAAGTTTTCCAAGGAACAAATGGGATCCAAGATCAGAAGGAAAAACACGATGGGCGCTTACATTCCAAGGGTTGTGTGCCAATGAGATTGAATGGGCAAATAAAGAGATGGGTGCCATCAATCCTAGATGCTGCCTGATGACAGCTCCTCATGTGACTGAGCAAAATATACCATGCAGCTAATCCTTCACGCCTTAATAGATTTCAGGGTCTGTATGTGTTTGTGGTAAAAAAGATGGGAAAGGTAATAGGGGGAAAATGGGTTATAAATGGAAGGTGACAAAATTCTGCGCTCGCCCCCCCCCAAAAAAAAAGTCTGATATAGCTTCTCTATATTATCACTCAAGGTTTGTGTATATTATCAGCAAGATAAATGGCTTGGACTGAATTAAAAATATCTTTTTTTAAAAAAAAAATCTTCCTTTTGACCAGCCTTTTCTTTTTCTTTTTTACTCCCCTGTTAGTAAGAACAAAACCTTTCAATCTGAATAAAAAGCAGAGACAATCCTAAACCCTTGCTAACGTTGAAAGACCACCAATGAATTTAAAGCAAATGCTGAAAGTCCTTTGGCATGCCACAGAATCTACACATCATTTAGGATGCTTTTCATCTCTTTTCTGTAACTAGCAAACCCTCTTTTGAAGAGCTGAGGAAGCTTCCCCAATTATGGACATCTTTTTCCAACCTTCCACCATTACCATCAGCCACCCATATAGTTACGAGGAGTTGATATAGGTTTCAGGGAATGAAAAATCTCCCCCTTAGGCTGCAGAAATTAGCTTACTGGATGGGGGCACTGTCTTACCCTCCACACTACTAAATTTACATACTAAAATTTATCTTTATTACAAAAAGTCCTAGAAACTTCCAGAGGCCTTACCTAACTCTAAAATGGTACCTTGGAGACCACTGATCAGAAGCCAATACTCTTCAAGGTGAACAACTAGCTATTCTGCCATGTCAATGAATCTCCCACCACATTTCCCTTTTCTCTCTAGAGCAACAGTATGGGAACTAGGCAAAACATTAAGGTGGCCCCAGTTTTGGGAGGAACCCAAGACTCCAAAAAAAGGCAACCCATAAGATTTAGCTTCCTAAGCACTCCACAATTTATTGTGCCTTGCAGTGGAAAAGCCAAACCTGGAATTCCTAATTATTTCAAATGCCTCCCCCCAACTTTCTTAAATCTCCTTAGTTTACTTCCCAGCAGCTCTATTGGGCCCATCAGGCTCTTTAAATCTATTTAAAGTTGGATCTTTGGGTTCAGCCTGTCCAAAGCAAGTGACTTGCTTGGCCCCTGCACCCACAACGCTGCCTCTCTCCTTGGAATGAAACAGCTCACAAGATGCCTTGTGGATCCTGCTTTAAGAATTATTTCTCAGTCTTCTTCCTCTCCTGACAATTCTTTAGAATTGTCTTTCTGAAATCCATGGCAGCTCCTTTACAGCTCTCTCCCACAAGGTTGCAAACTCTTCTTCTTCTTCTTCTTTTAATTATTCATCACAATTACAAGCCACAAGCATGCAGCGGGCTGTGTCAAATCTTTGGAGTTCTGCCAGTTCAAACTGTTGCCCAGAAGGAACGTCAAAAATCCAGTGTTCGTGCTGAAGAATAATGGAAACAAATGCAGGAAGAGAGGAAATCTGTATCTGGAGGAGTGGCACTCTGTCAGAATAGTCCAGCAGTTCACAACCCCCAAAAAAGAAGCAATTTGAATCAAGTGAATCAGGCTCTTTATTGCTTGGAGGGAGCTGAAAAACTGGATTGCAAAGAGTCCAAAATATCGCCCATAAACAACAGCTCACAATGCCCCCTTAAACTATATCAGCCACAAATATCCCCATTTGAAGAAAATATTGGATGTTCAAATTCCAGGAAATGTTGATTCCCCTTCTTTAACAGATCCAAAACAAGATTGCTCAAGAAGTGATCCCAAACACAAGTATCATGGGTGTGATTCGAGATCCCTCGGTTGATGGATGGAGACTAATCCTGGAACATTTGACCAAATCGCTCCTAGACCATCACGCCAACAGAGGAATGAAGGTCTATCCTCTTAAAAAAAGAAAAAAAGAAAGGAAGGAAAAGATATTTAGCTGGTGCTAATAGACAAGATGCAAGGATCTTCAGCAGAGAGACAGATTCAAAGAGCAACTCCCAGGAGTTCACCCTGCACCTTGTAAAAAATGCTTCTCAGTCGCTGCTCAGTAGGAAGAATCTCTCTACACCGGCTGGGCTGACTGGAGAGGTGGCATAAGCAGGGTGATAAATGAGCAGGCAGTGAAGAGCTTCGGCACCCTCTAGTGCGACACACTCCCTGGGGGATAGGAATCAGCAGAGAAGTGGAGCAGCAGCTGATTAAAAAAAACAAAAAACCACATACACACAACTTCATTAGTGCCAAGGGGGTACTAGTGCCAAGTTTGAGGGATTAGCATCTAATAAAGGAGAGAGGAGAGGAAGACAGAGCATTACAGAGCCCGCTTTTTAATTCTGTGTTCAATCAGCTGGCTCCTTGGAAAGGATGAAAAATTGGATGCCGAGATGAGGGAGCAGCCGGGTCAAAGGTGACAGAGTAGACTGGAAGAGGGAGAGAAGGGAAAGAGAGAGGGACAGAGGAGAAGGATAGGGACTGGCAGACCAGGTCATGGTCAAGGAAGACGGATCAGTAGAAGGGTGGGCTGGTGAACTGGGCTCATCAGCGACACAGAGGGATTATTATAATATGAGTGAAAGATTTCCACCAAACAGCATTTGGGGAGGTTGAAAACATTATTACGGTCTGATGTTTAGAGAACAAAGGATTACAGCAAATGTACACAAGCATTATTGCCTTTTGTATTTTTCCTTTTGGCTGTCCTTGTTCCCCATTTAAAACGTCAGCTCTTGTTTAGCAAGCATGAATACATAGGAAGGCCGGTCAATATAGAGAACGAATACTGAGATAAATAAGGGAATATTCATCCCACAGCTCAGAGCCGGGAGGGATCAATCCATACATAAGCAAGAGTGAATAGAATGGACAATATGTCAGTCCAAAAACTGATATGTATCATATTTTGTGTGTATTTCACTGCTCAGCCAGTTCTGCGTCTCCCTTATGAGATATTTAATCTTTATCTTTGGATCTTGGGTCTCTCGGGATTATCATCTGGCTGGCTATAAAGAGATTGTTTTTGTGTGTCCCATTTTCAATACGATCAACATGTTAGGAAATCAAAGCTGGTATAGACTTAAACACAGCAAAGTAATTAGAGCAGAGACCTAATCGGGTGGGCTGGCAGCCAGAATGCTGGACTTCTAAAGAAGAAGAAGAAATAACAGTCATGCAAGCTAAATGGAGGACAGTTGGGAAATGGGAAATGTATGAGCATTGCAGGGTACAATGGGAATGGTCCATCTTAGGACAACCCCCCCCCCCCAAAAAAAAACTTCCGGTTGGTCTGTTGGGCCTGGTTTTTGCCCTTTCTAGGCTCCAGAGGCTTTCCTCAAGCTTGGGGAGGGCAAAAAACGGCCTCCCCGCCGCTCCAAAAGGCCGAAAATCAGCTGGCCAGACCACAAATGTGCGCCGGAGCTGAGGATTGCTGAGGGCTGCCGTGCCTGAAAATATGGCTCTGTGTGCCACTTGGGAAATATGCATACAAAAATAAGATAAGCTGCAAAATAGACTTAACACGATGCAGAAAACAAAGACAACCTACCACTCCCCAAATTCCCTTCCAAAATCCAAGTAAAAGCGAAAGAGGACTTGGTTTGCCTTTGGTACTCCACAAAATATTATTCCACATCTTTTATCAAAAAAATCTCCCATTCCCAAATTCAGACTATAAGGGGATTAAAGGCATCTCAGCAATTCTAATAGGGGTTTAGGAATTGGTCCCATCCCCCATGTGGCAGACATGTTATTCCCGGACAAATTTATTTACAGTAATACCTCAGTACTCAACTGCTTTGAAACTCAATGCATTTGATATGGAAATTTTGTGCCGGTACTCATTGTTTGTTTGGTACGACGCACAATAATTTGTCGGTGTTGGCTGCCTCATGATTCACTATCCTTTTCAGCTGAAAAAAAGGGTGACATGTTACTCACGTGGTTTGCTACTTGTTGTTTTTAGTGCTGGTCACACCTCCTGGAACCGATTGATAATAAATACCAAGGTACCACTGTATTTATTTTTGTTAAATTTATTTGCTGCCTATCTCACTATGGGACTACTCTAGTAGTTTTTGCATCTTCAGTTCAGTCATTTGAGGAAAATTCCCATTACACAACACACTTTCAAAATTCAGAGTACTCCACCCAGACCCAAAACTGAGAGGGTGCAGGCTGATGTATCTCAGTATTTTTTAAAAAAAATCTAAGCACTTCATTTAATATGAAGCTTGTCCATCCCTTAAGTCCCTCTGAAACCAATTGGAATCAGGCTGCTGTACCGGAACAGATTTATCTAGCCTAATCTCCTATAATTACAGTCAGTCCCTGTGTTAAGAATGTCCAACTTAAGGACAACCTCTAGATATGAACAGGCTGCCTATTACTAAAAATGGCAGGTGGCATTCTCCTTCCTTCAGTCGACAAACCATGTAAGCCATGCAATGCGTTTAGGAATGGCTGAAGCTGCACATTTTTAACAAGCTGCCTGTTTGAAGCCATTCCTGAAAGCATTGCGCAGCTTCAGTGGTTCATTAATTTGAGGAAAAACAATGCCATCAGCCCAGGGGTGAAATCCACTTACCTTTGCTACCGGTTCGGAGCAATGTGAGCGCACATGCTCCACCTCCACACATGCGCAGGACCTTCCGCGTATGTGCAGAGCGTCAAAATGATGTTTGGGTGGGTGGAGCCTACTACCAAGCATGCCTCGCAAGCGATTAAGCAAATGTGAGGAAAGCGAACAGCAAAGGGTGGGATCCACTTTGCCACCCAATTTAGATTAGCTAGAATAAAATGAGGAGCCAGATTGTTGGGGGCAAAATTCTGACTCTGTAAACTGTTTGGAGAGGAGTATAAAGTGGTATAGAAGTCTAAGCGTTAACCCTGTTTCCCTGAAAATAAGACCTCCCGGGATAATTAGCCAAATCAGGCTTTTGAGCACATGTGCTAAAATAAGCCCTCCCTGAAAATAAGCCCTTCCCTGAAAATATTGCAACACATTGCAATATTGCAAAATATTGCAACATAGCAGCAGCCATGAGATGACCATGATCGATGCCTCCTGCACCTCAAAAATAATACCTCCCTGAAAATAAGGCCAAGTGCTTATTTCAGGGGTCAAAAGAAAATAAGACTGGTATTGCTATTGTTATTGCCTCCCTGAGCTTAAATGGACTCCAGAGGATAGTAGAGGACAGGAAGGCCTGGAGAAACAATTTCATAACTAACAACAACAACATCGCCTCCCTGAGTTGCAGATGCTCCATCACTGGAGTTTTCAATAAAACATTTGACAACCATTTTTCCAGAGTGGTATAGGGTCTCCTACGCAAGCAGAGGGTTGGACTAGAAGACCTCCAAGGTCACTTCCGGCTCTATTGTTCTATATTCTGTATTCTTCATGGAGGTGATCAGCCATGACTTCGGGAGTTGAGGGAAAAGATACTGTTGAAAATTAACCATCCTGTGGGTAGAAATACCAGCGGAATCTTCTCACTGGCATTTTCTCATACCACTTATGATTACTTTGTCAATTATGTGCAGAAGAAGAATTTGGAACAAAACTTTTGGAACAAAATGGAGACTTAGGAGGCTCTAGTTAAAATTGGCATAATCCTCATGGCACTGTTACCAGCCTATCCAAATTCTGTGAATGACATTAACCATTTTTGTTACTTGATGATAAATCATATTGGATACAAACTGTACCCAGTGCAAATCATTTTAAATTCATATTTATTATCTGTATGTTTTGTTTTGTTTTGTTTTTCTTATGAGGCAGAAAATGATATTATTGTTTTTAATATTTTTGAAAGCATAACAATTACCTAAAATATAAATATATTAATTCATTAATTGTATAGAAACATAGAATAGGTAACCAACTTTGCCAATATTTCAAGAAAATGCTCTGACCTTGAAAAAATAGATTTTATATATTGTATATATTTTTCAATAATGAAACTGACAGGTGCACTTTTGAATATTTTAATTCAAAGGTTGAATCATGAATGGATGTTACCCAAATATAATTATAGTACAAAAGATTTATTGGGTACAAGTTAGTGTAATAGCAAAATGTCAATTTTCTTGTTGTTCTGTTACATGTATCATGAACCCTAACTATATACAGAAACTAAGATACTAATATTTTTTTTAAAAATGTCTAATTGTAAAGATGATCAATATTTTAATATCACCTTTCAAGGTGAATTACAAAAAGAATGTACAGTTAAACTGTGGAAATGTGTATTCAATACACAATTATCTCAGATACATAGTGCATTACCTACATTTATTGAGCCAAATCAGTGCTTATAGATATATTAATATATTAATTCTTGTCAACTGTTAAAATTCTGTGTCGAAATCATCTAGATTCTACAACATACCGTATCTAAGCATATGCAAATCAAACAGATTTACCCCACAGTTTTCTTCTCTTAGGATTTATTTTTTATTTGTCACAGAATCTGAAAAAGGTAGGGTGTTTGTTTGTGTGTGTGTGTGTGTGTGTGTGTGTGTGTGTGTGTGTGTGTGTGTGTGTAGCAAGCACTGTTCTATTTGAAGTATTTTTCCCCAATGCTAGAAAACAATATATTTTTGCTTGTCACAAACAGTGGCTTTTATACTAGAAGTCTAGCTCTCAAGCCACTTGATATC